CTTCTTCTTTTCGTCCTTGTTAACTTTCTGAGTTCTTTTGAGATAAGTTATTCTGAGAACGATTTTTTACAATAGGTACAACCACTATTGGAACCAGGAACAGTTGGATATGTTTAAAAAGTGAGATGTATCCTCTAAGCTCGGCACAGCCAATCAGAGAATTGCAATTGAAATGAAAGTTGTTTGCTTGCAGAGCTAAAACAAAAGTGCAACGCGGTGCTTCAAAGAACACTGTTCACGCTTAATGCATTATTAACTTACATTATTTCATAATAACAAAACGGAGCTTCTGTTTGTACCCGTATTTATATAAAGTGTCGTGTGAACTTATCTGCTTCAACGCATTATGGGACCGGAAATGAAAGGTAAATATCCTCCCAGCTGCTGGGTTTTACAAACCAGGCTGACAGCTTTTATGTTCCTAGAGCTCTCAGAAGGCACACACTGCAGCTTTCAGAGCACGGGAATTAAAATTCGGTCATGATAAGCGTGTATTCCGGTAACTGGAAAAATGCACAAAGTAAGCTTTCGTCAGAACGAGACTTGTACATTTTTGATGCAGGCAAATTGTTCTGTTGAAGAACATTAACGTTGAATTATGTTGGCAAGCAGATGTTTGCTTTTGACAAATTCCCTTCAGGCCTGTACATGTTAATGGTAACTTACTAAATAAATTATAAATAACGAATGACCATACAGATATACAGGGCTGAGGAAAAGTAATCAAAAGAAAACCCTTTGCTCGCCAATTTTTATTTTAACTTCCCAATGGGAATTTTCGCAAATGTTTAATTTAGAAGAGCGAACAAATTATGTTCTACTGTACTGCTGATTACAAGTAGGCTGTGGTAGTTCTTTGTTCAGCATCTTTAGCTTTTGCGGAGGATTCGACGTTTGATTCGAACTTTGCACATTAACTGTTAATTCAAAGACGTGTTTCTATTCGACATAGCCACGTGAGTGTACAGTTTCTGAACCATTCATATCTATTGCCAAGTAACACTCTTCAAAGAGTACTGCACGCGTTGAACTGAGAGCCAACCGCAAAGAACTTTAAACTGCCACTTCACCAAGACAGAAATTCTGAATTTAGACCAAACTTGAAGATGTGCTTGTCAAGAAATAATAAACTGCAGTTTAGACTGACCCACCCTTAACAGTGAGTTTATGTTCCATAAGTAAAAGCGAAAATATAACCTAATGGAAGATTTCAGTCTGAACTGATAATATTTCATTATAAATGTACAAAAAACGCCATCAGAATTATAGGCATTGTGACTAGACTTATCGGAAGAGAAAAACAATTCAATTAAGGAGCCTAAAATTCAGCTCCAGTGTTCCGCATTCCACAAACACGACCAGTGTCTTCATAATAGTAGACAAAACTACGGTAACAGTCTGGTTGCCGGCTCACTAGGCTTACGTTGCTTAACTGCACACTTATGTCGTAGTATTAAGTTTCTTTCTTACCAAAAATGTATAACACAGTCCTTCCACATTGCATCCACCATGCAGATGTCTTAAGCGTCCTGCGGTCACTTTTTGGCCGAACAATGAGACGCTTTAAAATGAGGTACGTGAACACATACCAGCCTGGTTTGGTTTAATTTAGTTTTTAGTTTAGTAAGATTGGTTTTAGTTTGTCATTTAGTTTCACTAGTTTGAGTTTAGTTTTTGTTTGCTTAAGTTTTAAATTTGATTTATAAATAAATAGACTGTATATTTAAGGCCCAATGGGCCCTTTCATTATTTTGACTTAGTTTGATTTAAGTTTATTTTTTGTCTTACTTTTTGGCTTATCGTACTGCAATATCGATCCAAATGCACTAGAAACGATTGCTAGTTTTCAAGAATAGGGGGAAATGTCTATCCTTCATGTTTTTACTTTAATCTCTAAAATTCGACATGGAGACGATATACGATTGTATTCAACTCGTGGGCACTATTAGGCAGTTCGGATATGCTATTGTTTGTATTTCTCAGTTTATACTCGCGCGCCAAACATTAGGCTATTTTAAAAATTATCCCTATTATTTTCTACTATTATATGCTATATTTTGTAGATTATTGTGTCCTTCCGTTGATATGCCCCACTAACTTAACCCTTATTACTACCGGTCCCATATTACATAATTCTGTTACCATAACAGCTTTTTCAATTACGAAGGATATAAATTATTGTGGACAAACTCGAAAAGACACATTCCAACTTCGTATTTTAGCTCAGAGCTTAAATAATATAATTATTTGGGCCTAAATTTACCTTACTGGCTAACGTTAACTTAACGAATAATTAGTCCACTGAGTATGTTTTTTGTTAATGTCGGCAGATTTTCTTGATTACAGTCAAGATAAGTCTGTGAACATAATTCCCACGAGACTTTATTTTTTTATGATCCAAATTGATAGGACGTACGTCCGTAGCTAAACTAAAAGGATGTTATAATTAAGACTGCTCCTCAACCAACTTACCCGAATCCCACCATCGTGCTCCTGCATAGGGCCGAAATTGTACTGCCTCATAAGTAGCTATACCAATATCTTTTTCTTTGCAAGAAATGTTATGCGGAATTAATGTGTGTTGGCAGTAATTTACATGAAAATTCTAGGCAATTTGATATGAACTCACAGTTCACGGTAAGCCCCGTTGCTCAATGGCAGAGCATTGGCTGCGCAAAAGCCGTCCCTGCTGTGTGGATTTGATTCTCACTGAGGCCGCGAATTTTTCTCAATTACGTCAACTGAATTAAGCAAATTTACAATGGACCCTAATAATAAATATATTTCTACTTGAATTTACCACCTACAGTAGATTCACTATGTCATGCAATAACTGCCGGAATTCTGAAACAAATTTTCGATTGGAACATATTAATTGCAGATGGTTGTAACAGAGATGATCATACAGCCTAATCTCAACATATTTAAGACATTTCAGGATACCGGCTTTTTAACGAGCTTCTGTCTGACCGCCAAGACAAAGCATGTACTATAAAAAGTGACTAAGTAAGAAGTATGCCTTTTTGTCATTACTTTCGACTGCCTTTATAGATTCAAATATATATCTTTTGGAAAACATGCACGAAAAAATATTTCTTGTACTCATTTTGTAGCAAATAACGCCTCCTTTAAATTTTATACTTAAAGGAAGGGTATCTTTCGGTTTTAAAAAAGTTTCTAAATTGCCGAATCATTTTGAAACCTAGTGACCGCTACACTGGAATTCAAGGTTTACAAACTGCGCATTATGTACAATCTGTTTAGGGAAAGGTACGTTTTCGCCTACAACTTGACGAAGATCTCACATAGTTCCCATAAAATCTTGAGACAGATGTGGAGCATGCTTTATACAGTAAAGGCAGCATTAACAAATGACGGATATGGTGTTCCCCGAATGAACACCTGAAAATTGTAAACAAGCTCATAATTAGAAATTATTCTAAAACCGAAAGATACCCTTACTTTAATTTTAAAATTTAAAGAAGGCGTAGTTTTCTGCCAAATCAGTACAGGAAATAATTTTTTCGTGCATGTTTTCCAAAAGATATATATTTGAATCTATATAGGCATTCGAAATTAATGAAAAGAGGCATACAACTTAAGTAGTCACTTTTTATAGTACATGCTTTGTCTTGGCGGTCAGAAAGAAGCTCGTTAAAGAGCCGGTATCCTGAAGTGTCTAAAATATTTTGAGATTAGGCTGTATGATCATCTCTGTTACAACCATCTGCAATTAATATGTTCCAATCGAAAACTTATTTCAGAATTCCGGCAGCTATTGCATGAGATAGTGAATCTACTGTATGTTTATTGGATTTCAATGAAATGACAATCAAGGAAAGGCAGAAAGGCACAATCCAGAAACAAAATTAACAGCGCTACGCACGTACAATATACATTGTGTTCCTATACTTACTAAACGGAAAAATATTAAGAATGCTGTCTTGTCAACTTTTTACAGGCGAAGAAATATTTTGTATCCAAATAATCAAGGAGCTTTATCCAAGGAGTCATTTTTAAAAGTATTGGCTAGTTTTTTTAAACGTTCTGAGCCCTGGGGTGGTCTTTTAGACAAGAGACCTCCTTACAATCGGAGTAACTTGATGTACATGCCTTGGGAAGCAAAAGATAGACTTCATGGTCAGCGAAAATTGACCTTGTCGTTTAGCTCAGTTAAAGTTCGCAAAACTGAATCAAATTGGAGGAAAAAAATGAGAAAAACAGAGAAGATTTGGAGGAAAACTTCGCCGTAGGAGGGCGTGTTTGTGTTACCCTTCGGTCTTAAAAAACAACTTAACTGAACGTGAGAAGCTTATTAAAGTCTTTTGGTGGTTCATTTAAAAGAAGCATACTGTTCAGAATGAGGTCAAAACGGGAACTTTTACCGTATTTAAACTGAACGCAGTCAATCGTAGCGACAAATTTCGTTTGCTGCCATGACGTTTTTCTTAACTAATAACATACATTTCACACCAAGGAAACCGCCTTTGCAGGACACAACTCCTGTAAATACAAGCTCTACTACACCGGTTTGAGCAAAATGATTCAGTCTCCGACTGCCTCTCGGGATTCCCTTGATGGCTCGACTTCAGACTCTCCATGCCACTTTCACACAAAATATCAATGAGGTCTATCCCTAGAGAAGATGGTACGCCGCTGTCGGTGCACTGAGGCTGGAACAGAAGAGTAGGCTCCAATGAGTGCCTCCCGCGGACAGATGTTTCGTGGTGTTGAAGCGGAATTGGCGAAATAGAACACGGTGGTTTCCCTACCAACAGATGCTGGTAGACCTTCTCGGCCAACACATCAAGCGCATGGGTCCGAGGGTCTTTGTAATATAGGCGCTACTGGCCGCCACATTAGCCTCTTCCGGCCAGGTCCGACTTGGCGCGGCATCGGGAACATGAAACAAGTCCGAACCACTGGTGGAGGCAATGGACCGCGGTACGCCTGGAGGACGGTACTCATAGTCGTTTGTGTTGCACAGGTTGGTACTTTCGCCACGGATGCAGGGTTGACCATCTCTGTACATTGGAGTATTACAGGAACGGGGCTTATTGGCGAAAGATCCGTCTGACGTTCGCGCTGTAGCCAGAGGGAAAAGGTTTGGTTAAATCTGGACTATTTGGGACTTTGGCACAGTGATTTCATACAAAAATGCGAGCTCCAGCCGATAATCTAAACGATAAAGCCATATAAATAGACCGCGACAAACTAAAAATCATTGCTGTTAGAAACAAAGAGAAGTGGAAAACGCTATCAGTTAGTAGACAGGGCAAATATAAATATTCAGGAGAACAAAAGAAAGTAATATCAACACGGAAATAGAAACGCCTCGTCCAAATACTAAAGATATT